GTACTTTTGCTTAATCGTATACTTTTATAAGAATAATTTGAACATGCTAATATGCTTCCTTATAAGACAAAAAGTTGTATATTGTTAACAATTCGAAAGTATAAATAACCTATAAGGTAGATTCCCTTTATTGATGTAAGAGCAGTTTAAAAATAACTATTTTTAAAAAGTCTTAACGTACATAATATGCGTCGAAACACATAAACAATTTTCCCCAGCTGTTGATTTTGAAATCTCGGAATCACTCAATTTAAACGAAGTAATGAATACCTAACTATGAGTAAAATTCCTCTCAAATAAAGATTGTATCTAATTAAAGTTATTTTTATATATTTCATATAAAAACACATATGGAAGCCTTCTGAATTATTTAATGAATGATAATGGATGCTTCCTCATTGACGAGTGATTCAATTAAAAGGTCTCTATCTTTGTTGTGCAATGTGCCTGATTTCCTACCATGCACTTTAGTGCAGTTTATGTATTTATAATTATAGGAAAGAAAAGATATAATAAATAACTTTTTCTATTGCTTTTTTAAAAGTTGTGAAAACCATTTTAGCGACAGGGGGATATGGCGACAAGGCCTTCGATTGATTGATTAATTAATTGTACATTGTTTAACGTCCATCTCGAGATTTTTTCACTCATATGAAGACGCCACCACTTGCTTTCGAAGAGTTTCAAACTTTGTCCTACATACGGCACTTAGGGCTATAAAGTTAGGAGATAAATGTCATCGTACCAGCTCTTACTGCGATATAGGACCACGCTTTATACGGTTTTATCCGAAGGACCGGTCTCCTTTCCTCAAGCGGGGTTCGAACACCCGACGTAAGGATCAACTCCTTACTTCGCTACTTTGGAGCAGACTCTCTAACCACTCTCTAACCCCTGCGCCACATGGGCTACCCAGGCCTTCAAATGATACTGTATCAACTGAAGTCACGTGTCTCTTGTATTTTACTGCTTAATGTCAAATTACAGCACTCCAACGAAAAATAGGGGCATCAACATATGAAGATAGCGAACAGTATTCAAGATCAAAACTACCAATAAAAACACATGTAGAAGCAGAAGAACCATAGAATAGGAACCTTTCAAGAGGGATATTAATCAACAAACAAAGAAACACATTGCCATCAATATTGAATTATATTTTTATAAAATGTAGGCAGGAAGAAAAAGTTAGAGTGTGTAGTTTTTTTAAAAAAAATGAGTTTATATTTAGATCTCTTTAACATGTAAGATGATGAAACAAGCTTATCATAAATTCAGTGTGTTCCACAAAACAATTACACACTCATTCCTTCAATAAATCTTACATCGTTGAGAACTTGTTCTTTTTCTGAAGTTAAATATCTAGATATTGAAACATTTTATGTTAAAGATGTTTTGTTATAGAAAAATAGAAAAAAAATGCTTCATATTTAAGACTCTATGTATCCATATGGAAGCATTTAAGATTGGGTTCTTCTTTGCAATCTAACTTTTCCTTTATTCTTATCTTAATGAATACATATATTGCTTATACGTCTTTATAAAAATGGTAAGCTTTCATGAATTAGTATTTTTGAGAGTAAAATGTTGACGGAAAATGCTATTTATTTCTTCAAATGTTGCTTGGTTATTGAGAACATAAAATAGAAATACTTTTCTGGCTGAATTATCTTTTTTTTTATTTACAGAAACAATAAATTACATATATGTTCAGAAGCAAACATTTAAATATATTTAATGATACACTCACATACAGACATACACACACTTATATACAGAGTGAGACACACACCTACAATATTACATGTGGAAGGAGGGTGAAATAAATATCATAAATTACAATATAACAATTGTATAAAACTCATATGCTTAATCTTTTAATCATTACTTTGAAAAAGACATTTCCAATTTGAACATCTTTTTTTTCAAATTGTTCAACATCATATTTTTTTTTTCTATAACAAAATAATCATTGAGGTACAATAAAAATCATTAAATAAAATGCTACACTTTTATCTTGATGTTTGAAAACTATATTTTTTTTACCAATACAATAATAATATTCAAACCCACATCAATGTCTGCAGAACAGAGGATTACATTTTGTATATTAAATGGCAATCTTCAACCAGATTTTAAACAAATCCAATCTTCTAAGGATGATTAGATTATCTTGACAAAATTACATTAAAAAAATAGTTGTTTTAGTGTCTTAGGTTCCTGAGAGCACAGTTCACAATTCTGGCTGAATAAAGTGAGTAAGCGATTTGTTGTGTATCTGTCAATGGCGAAAATTTGAATATTTCTGGGTAAGAGTAAAGGGATATTATAAAGTTTTTTTGATTCTTACAGTGTATTGTAATACATTTAAAAATCTATACGGAAAGAAAGTCTAACATTTCAAATGTTTTACTGAGCGGGCATAAAAAATCGATGTTGGACCGCTGAGTGAGATATTGGACCGGTCGATGAGATGTTGGACCGCGGAGCTTAATCTCATTTGCATTTGTTGGTGTTCAAAAGTGACGGTGCTGAGGCTACATCACGTCAGACAGCAAAAAATACAAGTTGCTAAAAAAAAATTAAAATGAAAGGTATAACAAAACATTTATTGACTGAATTCTCGGGTAAAATACGTTTTGTCGACCCTTGAACTCACCTGTCTGCCAAACGGCTTCAGGCAGACAGTTTGGTTCTTGGGTCCGACAAAAGGCATGTTACCCTCGAAAGCAGTCAATAAATGTATAATGCTGACTCTGTAGATACAAAATATATATACATATACATACATGGAGAGCGACGGTGTTTTTATGAATGATTATTTTGCTTCTTTGCACGAATGAACTATAACGCATTAAACATGTGACGATTAAATCATCGATATAAATATAAATAAAATGAAATACTTACTTAAGAGCAAAGTAACCAAAATAATTATCTGACCAATTTTCATAATTTATGGTCAAAACGTCAAAATATTTTCTCATTTTATGTTCTCATGCGTATCTTTTTTTCCTTTCAGTAGATTTCCCTCCATATATCTCTTGTTTAAAATCGGTTGCTGAAAGAGGTGAATTCACTTATTTTCCCTACAAGATGGCAGGTAAGGGGAATAACTTCTAGACAAAATGTAATGGGAAAATGACCTATCTTCAAAATCTAACTCAGTTCATGGTCTTGCAGCCTGAATCTCTAAGAATTAAAATGCACAAAATCTCTCTATTGGTGAAATTATCGTACAGCGCAAACATGTATGCAATTATTTTCGCTACCCTTCAAGCTCATTTGAGTTAGCTTGAAAGCCACATGTTGGAGTAAATATATCTGATCAGAGACTTCAACTTAGAATAATACTTGGGTCCGAATGTAAGTCACCCAAGACTGAGTACACGAAAATAGCAACAATAATAATTCTAAACGTCATCGATATAATACAACAACCACTCGAACACTTTTGCTACCCTTCACACCTGAGTGAACAACAATTAAAACTGGTGACATCTGACCAAACTCAGAAATACGAACGAAATTGTATTGCATAATAAAGTTGCCTTAAAAACAATATACAAAATGAAATTATGAAATTAATTATATCATGGGTAAATACATTTCAAGGACCTGTCCCCATGCCATGTCAAGATAAAGCTTGTACTGCTTTAATGTATATATACTACCTACTTCAAAATCAAAAACGTGTCTGCATTAACGCTTCTCTGCCGGGAGTGACAAGGTCTCAATTGTTCTGGTCAGCTTTGCTATCCCCAAAGGACAAGGGTATACTGGGCATAGGGACAAAACGTGGGAAATACAAACTAATCTTAATTTACTGAGCATGCCATATTCTAAAGCCCTTTGAAAACCTGAAGTTCCTGCTGTGCTGTTTTCATACGAATGCTATAGGCTTCGACGTCAGCACCCATCCATAACAATTTCTCCTGAGCCAGATGAATTCCCATCGCTACTGTGTCCAAATCAATGCCTAAAACAGTTAAGGTGTTGCTGGAAATAGTTTTTCATTGTTTTATTGTTACTCCTTTACCATCCATAACTTTCAAAAATGATCTTAATTATAATTTTAAAGTGTGAAAGTGTTCACTTTAGTAAATAAAGTGTGAAAGTATTTACTATAATAAACCCTACTTTACATAGCTTCAAAGTGTTCACTTTAGTGAATTATAGTTAACTACAGTACACTATAGTTCACAACAATTAACTTTAGTAAAATATAGTTTACTATAAATAAATAATACATATTGTGAAAAAAATTCGTTTTATCCATGTTTGTCTTATTTATTAATTACGAAAACAATATCGATGGAGTTAAGAAGGTTTTAGTTGGTCTCAATGAAATTAACACATATCTACTATATATGTATAATTTCAGACAAAAAAAGAGGACCCAATAATGGAAATTCTGTACGCAGCACAGATAAGGTTACAGTAAGGAGGCGGGGCCTAATTTGTACGGGAAATGTTAACTGTGACGTCACACATAATATAAGATCTTCAAAACACCACAAAATGAAATTATTTGCTATTTCGAACAGCTGGATAGCTGTATACTACTTACAAACTTATTATTAAAGACGATGAAGACAAATATAACTTCTTAAAATCATTTATTTTGATTTGGCGATTGTGGCCACGACCTACATAATACAATATATATTTTATTAATCGTTATAACATAAGTCCTTATAAACCTTATATCCTTATCCTTATAAACCTTATATCCTTATCCTTATAAACCTTATCCTTATAAACCTTATATCCTTATCCTTATAAACTTTATATCCTTATCCTTATAAACATTGTATCCTTATCCTTATAAAGTCCTGAAGATTTGAATACTGACAACATTCAAGCTGGTACTGGGTTAGCAGATACTCAGCAGAAGTTGTGAAAAAATACTTGTATCATGGAAGGCGTCTCGAAAAACGCCAAATGGTTGTCCGTTGAAAATGACAACCACCGCCAACGACGTTAGGTGGAATGAGAGACGCAAAATATATGTAGGTGTGACCACATCTTGAAGCTTAAACTACGTATTTAACCTTTTATAGAAAAACATATTCTTGCAAAGCCCTTTGTAAGTTATATAGCAAGAAACAATTACCGATGTACGACAGGTGAACTCCATCACTACTAAACATTTCATTTGAATCCCAAGTAATCTCTGGGTACTTGATAAAGAATCCACCATTGACAGTAACTAAGTGATTCATAAAATTATTGAGTCTAACAGTAGTAAGATTTTGAGATTTTGAGTTTGAACTAAAACGCCATGAAATTCTTGGCAAAATATTTGACCAACCAATTGTTGTGTTGGGTAGTAGCTCCTCAAGTTTTTTGAGAGTTGAACACATATTGGACCGTAGTTGCAGCAATGGAATTTTACCTATGTCATTCCCTCCACAATGAATAATTAAAATTTCTGGAGGTGATTCATAACGTAACAAAAGTTTTATTTTTGGAATAAGGTCAAACCATTTCATACCTCCCTTTCCCTGCCAAAAAATTCTGTAATTTCTTCGTTTTAAACCTAAATCCACACCATCAAAGGATTTTCTTGCATAGTAGAATGCCCATTTAATAATTGAAGAACCAACAATCCAAATAACCTTTTCATCTCCTATATAAAAATATGAAAAATCATTCAAGAACATACTAAATCCTAATATACCGTTTGAAGGCATCTGAACTCCATCTACCTTGCTTTTTAATTTCTGTTTCTGACTGACCGGAAGAAAAACTATCTGACGCAGCACCAATACGGAAAGAGTGAGATTTGTACTTGGAGTTTGGAAGACCGGCTATTTCAAGACACTTATTTAATACTGAACAGAATTGAAACCTTGTTAGAGGACTACCATCCAAATGTTTAAATAATTGACCGTCAAATTTCGGCCTCATGGTGATGTACCTTTTCAACCAGTCAACTTGACAGATAGAATTCTTTGATTGATTCAAACAAACGGATGTTCCTTTCCCAAGTTGGTCAGTTTTTGAGAAAGGAACTCTAAGCTCTACGAAATTTTCCCCAGATGTTTCATTTTTTCTAAATTTTACATGTTCAATAGAAATAATTTGATTTGCTTGATTTGAACTACTAAAGGTAAATTCACCGATTCTAAGAAAAGCATGATAGGCTACCGAAAATGCCGTTGAAAAAAGAATGGACTCGAAATTCGATGAACAAACTAAATTTGTTGCTGTTATAAGTTTCTCAAGAATGTGTTTTGTAATAGGAAGTCTACAATCTTTGGAATGGTTTGACCTTTTGATTCCTTCCAATAATTTTCTAATTAGAAAGTTTTTTGTATTGTCACAGAAACCCAATATTTTGCATTTGAAACTTATTCATGATATATAGGATGAAATAGTAGAATGAGCTAAACCTTGCAGGGATAAATGAGCAATAAACATACAAATGTGTGGAACAGGTGGGGGCCAAACAGTACAAAGTTCATACAAAATTCTGAATTGCTCAAAGCTTTTTAGACTTGTGGAATATGTTTGCCTTGTATTTACTGATACCGAATTAAGTGTCAAGCGTTTAATTTCAGTTCCAAGATCAGTTTTACAAAATCTTCTGGAATAGGTGTCGGATCTTGATTGGAGGTTGGAGCAAGAACTCGAAACCTGGTCCACTGTTTGTGAGAAATAGAATCCGCTATAGCATTATTATAACCATCTATATGACAAGCTTTAAAGTAAAAATTGTTTACCATGGAATGTAAAACCAATGGCCGAACCAATTCCATAACTCGAGGAGATTTTGATGATTTTTTGTTTAAAATGGAAACTAAAGCTTTGTTGTCAGTATGCAGCATTATTTTTTTGTCGAGAAATTCATTCTTAAATAAGAAAATTGCAAGGACAATTGGCACTAACTCTAAAAATGTTATGTCTAACATAATGTCTGGATTCTTCCAGCTATCTGGCCAATCAAAATATGCCCATTGCCCATGAAGGTAAACGCCGCAACCTAAATGTTGATTGCCTGTACTATCAGTGTAGAGATGAAGTTGGTCATTAGACAACCAATTAACAGTCATGAAATTTAAACTGCCATTAAACCTGTGTATGAAATCTAACCACACAAGAAGGTCAGATTTCATTCCCTTTGTTACCCTAATGAAATGACTTGGGTATTTTATTCCACACATAGCATCACAAAATCTTCTATTAAAGGCCCTAGCAGATGGAATAGCTTTAGCACAAAAATTCAGAGAACCTACCAAAGATTGTAATTCTCTAAGCGTAACTTTTGTTTTTTGTAACATATCAAGCAGTAATTTCTCAAGGTCGATAATTTTTTCTTCAGGAATTCGAATAACCATCTTATCTGTATCGATTTCTATACCCAGGAATGTAAGTACCGATTTTGGGCCCTCTGTTTTCTCTTCTGCAAGAGGGATGCCAAAAGCAGAGCAGGTATTTTTGAATGATAACATTAACAGGTTACATGTTTCTAACGTGTACCCAGCAAATATGAAGTCATCTAAGTAATGGTTCAGAGTGTGTAATCCAGTCTTTTCTTCTACTACCCACTGAATAAAATGTGCAAACTTTTCCCATAAAGCACAACTAATTGAACAACCCATTGGTAGACACATATCGTAATAATATTGATCATTAAACTTGAAACCAAGTAATTGATGTTCAGAAGGGTGAACCGGAAGTAATCTAAAAGCTGATTTCATATCCATTTTTCCCAGATAAGCCCCCTTTCCCAGTGACCCTACCATGTCTAAAACCTCGTCAAAAGAAGTGTATTGAACAGAACAAGCTTCAGGGTCTATGAAATCATTAACACTGAAATTAGAAGGATATGAAAGGTGGTGAATAAGACGCCAACCCCCATCCTTTTTTGACACTACTCCAATAGGTGATAGCCTTAAATTGGACAAAGGTTCATGATTGAAAGGACCTGCTATTCGTCCCAAAGAAATTTCTTTGTCAATTTTTTCTTTTACCTCTTTTGGGTGATCGTTCACAGAAACTAAATTTTTATAGGTTGTTGACACTCTTGGACCTTCATAATGTAGATAAAAACCTAATTCAAACCCGTTCTTTAATTCATTAGCTACAGTTTGATTTGGAAAAATTGACAGATAAGGACACATATTATTCAAGTTAATTGGTGTTAAACCTGTTCTTACGAAAGGGGCCTGTTGAATATTTGCTGCCTGGCTGACGAAAAGTTGAGAAGGGGGCTTGAAAAGCCCTAAAGGTCGATGTCCTCTGTACAGCTTGTTTATCAGGACAATGAATTGGAGGATGTTTGTTTTGACACTTTAAACACTTAGACAATTTTGCATGCGACAAGAGCCTTTGTTGTTGTATTCATAACAAAATTTTGAGCTGACCTGAGAATTTTTATATACTGAGTTAGTATTTGGGGTTATGTAAATAAGCCAAAGCTCTGGGTCGATTTTGTCCCAGGAAATACTGATATCTTTTGCTCTTTTCAGTCGAAATTGTCGGTCGTATTCTCTCCAACCTAATCCACCAGAAACTCGACTGGCACCGAGTTTGACATTAGCCATGTATTTGATAAGGCTGTGAGTTTGATCAATATGTGCTGACAAATATATACTGTAAACCAACTTTTATTCGCGACGACTTTATTTCGCGATTTACCTGGGATAATCCAGTTCGCGACGATAAATTTTCGCGATGAAAGCCTTTTTGGATCTGTTGTTAATAGACACATACGCTTTAAGCGCCGGTTCGCGGCGAGAAATATTCGCGATGACGAGGTTCTCGTGAACATCGCAAAAATTACTCGCACGCGAATAAAAGTTGGTTTACAGTACTCATATAAATAAAAAATGCATCCAGCCAAGTGTCAATTGTTGTAATTTTGATTGTATTTGCAGGTTTTAATGTGAGTTGACCATTTGAAAGTAGAACTCTACTCTCCTGTGCATCAATATCTGTTTGCTTATTCAAAAGTGTATGCAATTCTACAAACTCCCCTTTCATGATTTTTTGTTTAACTGACTGTGTAACATGCATACCTAGATCATCATTTACACTGGTTATGCTCTGAGGCATTGGACATGAAGGGGAAATTGTGTCAAAACAAATGACTTGATCTGAATCGGAATTTTGTACATTGTCAATTGATATAATAGGTGTACTAGAGACTTTGCTACCTTCAGTCGATGGCGATGGTGTGTCGAGCCGTTGAGATATGATCGTCTCTATCCTCTTGTTAATTTCAGGTAGCATCTTTTCCGCTACTGAAGAAACAACTTCCTCAAGATCTGGCATTGCCTCCTTGTTTGTACCGGGATCCGAGTTTGGAGTTGGGCCTGAGTTATTTACTTTCTGACATCTTTTCTTTACGCCCGGAAGTCTGGCCTTCCCTGCAAATTTCCTTTTACCGTTCGTTGCCGTTGGCCTCCCTCCTTCGTCAGTTGAGTGTGACTTTTGTCGTGGTTGAATCTCTCAAAATACGATATATAAATATATTTTAACTCTGATGTATAAAACAAATTGAATATGATCTATAAGCAATTATTACAAAACAATGTCGGTACTGAACTTGTCAGAAGGACTAAAATATGTTTAAATTATAAAATATTACAATAACAACACAAATTGTTAATATTTTACCCTGTGCTTAATAAATGAGTAATAAACCAACGGATTAAATGGGGAAAATTAGCAGTTAAATCAAATTTTTAAGCTAAGAGACAAACAACACCCACCTCTCAATCCAACTGTAACAAATAGTTTTGTCGTTTGTTAAATACCACACAACATAATATAAACAATGCATCGATCGCAATGCACTTGTCAATGTGACGTCATCTCGTAAAAATGACGCAGTTTGTACACAGTGAGAGGCTGATCATGTTACATTTTGTACAATGAAAAATGTTTTTTGTTCTGAAATAAAATGTTATTTGCAGTAAAATAAAAAGCTGTCAGCTTGGATGCGATGTCTATTTTAGTATTTTATTTATAAACTGTACGTGCATTCTCCAGACAAGCGATACTGTCGTATGTTTGTCCGCAGATTCACTGAAAAAGTAATGAAAGGGCCCTAATAAATCGATTTATTGCAAGGGCATACCCTCAATGTATCTTGTCAAAATTTTACACATAAACTCAAGAAGCATTAAGATATTAGAAAAGTGCTGCGAACCTCTTGAAGTCTTGCAAATAAATTAATTGTATCTATATTTAATGTGGTTGACCTGGAAAATATTCAATCTGCCGTCCAACAAATTAAATTTTACCAATTAAAAAAAGGAATCTATATAGGTTCACAGCACTTTTCACAAACTACATATAGTTTTAAAAAGGATTATGAAATAAACTACGATTTTTAACTTGGTTATGCCCTTGCAATATTGAAATTTATAGATGACCTCTAAACTGCAAGTATAATTGCCAAAGTCATGTGGTGTCGACATTACATGACAAGTCTAAATAAAAAACCTAAATGTTCCCAACATGTAGATTTAAACCACATTACATTTTTGTGATATCGTTGAATTCCTAGAAAGAATCGCCCATCCTAATAAAGTATGTATTTTTTATCTTTAAAAAATCGCCGATATTTCCATTTGTAACCTTAACTGTGCTGCGTAGTTATTTGTCATCTTGAAAAATATTTGGGGGGGGGGGGGGGGAGAAGTAAGCTGTTTTTATTATTTTGTCTTTGCAAGTTTTTTCT